TTCTCCTTTTCCAGAGACTTCATCTTTCCCTCCCTGTCCCATGGTCTTTTCCAGTCCTGCTCCACTGGCTCCAAATCACACCTCTGCCTTTAGGAAAGGAACAGTATTTATTCCTTGGAAACACTAAAAATCCATTCCCTGAGAATCAGCCCTTGGCTAGGCTCTCTCACTGGGGTGTTGCAGAATTGCCTTCTTTTAATGCAGCCTGTTTATGAAGGGGTATGTACAGGAAAACAAAAGCTGGTATTAAAAACCCATAGGCTTTTTTTCTTCAGGGTGAGAAATACCTTGAATTTTACACTGTGTTAACATTTCGTGTAATCTGTTTTTCCTCAAGGCATTTAATCTAGGAGAAAGTGTTAGGCACTCATCTGTGACAAAAGTTGATCCTTTCCAATTTGAAATGGATTTCGTCAATCTTTTCTGGTGGCTGATAGGATGGCATATTGATTGGGTCTCCTTTTCAGAAAAAGGTATTTATCTCTTGGTGGCACGCATAAGCTATTGGTTTCCAGTGTAAGGACAGTCATCAGATGCGTAATGTTTGATCTTTGTCTTTCTCTAACTAGCTCAGACCTTCCTGGCTCAGACCACCTTACACTTCATCCCTTCATGCCCTTAACAGAACGAAGCTGCTACAAGTGATGAGAGTAATTTTACAAGCTCACCTACACTGGAAAGAGACCATTAGAACAGTGTTCTAAAATTTAGGAATAGGAGCTTATTATCAGGGTGAAAACAAGTTGAAGTGCATTGCTGGTTATCTTTGCTTTACCTACACCTGCAAAAATAGAAACTTTTTCCAGTGCTTGAAAGATGTCTGGGTCTGTTTTTGGGGACCTTAAGTCTTCAGGTAAGAACATGGATAAAAAAGAAGTCAAGACAGAGGTCAGTAATTGACAAGGAATGGTGTTGAGGAAGATACAGTTTTACACAGAAGGACCTATACAAACAGTCCAGCTGGGGAGTGCTTTGGTTTAGTTTTTTTACCTCTCAATACAACCCTCACCCAGCTAAGCCTGACAGCCCATGCCCATGCTCCTGCCCACGTGACCTTTTACCTTGTTTTGCTGCTCTGTGCTCCTCAGAGTGCCTTGCTCAGAAATTGTGCTGGTCATTCTGTCTGTTTCCACCTTTAAATCAGACCCAAGTAAACATATGCAAAATATCAATGAAAGAAACACCGAATCTTTACAATATGAATGAGGGAAGGTCATTATAACATCACTGGCACATCTTTTATTTCCTCCAGTTTTCCACTAGCTTATTGCACTTTGTACATCTTTGGTGGAAAAACTATACTGTAAATACCTCCCTTGGGGTCAGACTAAGGGGCCCATGTAACATAGCATCCTCTCCCTGGCAAATATTTAGGGAACACACATAAGATACTCAGCAACTGTAGAGTTATTCTGTGATAAATTCCATTGGGTCCCTCTGAGCTGCGTTCATAGTGTGGATCATTAAGCAAACGGTCACTGTACATTCAGCAAACCAAAATAATACTATGAATTGATATGAATTAGCATAGCTCTTCAGGTTAAATGAAATTATGTTAATATAATCCAAATTGTATCTTTAAGCAAAATGTTTTTATTCTTTCTTTTTTTCCTCTCTCTCTTCTGCTCCTCCTGTATTTTACCATGGTGTTTTGAATCTGACGTATTACAAATTGTGTTATCATCAGGGCAATTTTATTTTCCTTCTGTAATTCCCTCAGGAATTCTGTAACCATGTGAGTACAGTAACTTTGCTTGAAATAACTCTTACGTGATGTTGTGCAAATGTGGACTACACTTACTAATTACTAATTTTACTGTCAGCTTATGTAATAAAACCTTTGAAATGAGGTAAGGTAAAGCCAGAGCAGTACTTGGCCAGAGTACTATACTTTTTTTGGGTACTAGTGTTTTGTGTCTGTACTTTGTAGAAGCAGCAGAAAGGCATGCATAGTAGCTAGTGTAACCATAGTGCCAGATGGTCTAAGGGGATGTTTCTTTCATGTTGTATATCAAAAAGTGCTCTTTCTGTGCATTAGTATTTGTGAATGTCTATAGTTGTGTTAGTGTGGAACTTAAAGGGATGCAGAAAAATCCATTTAAAAGTGATTTCAGGATTCAAGGAAGACCAGTTTTAAAGGGCAAACCTGAGGCATTTCTGATTAATTTTACTGAAACTGAAGTAACAGCATTCTAGTTGCCTTTTTGTCCAGCAAAATGATAGACTATTCAGGATTCAGGAGTCAACTTGGCGAAGTCTGTTTGTGAAATCTTTGATAAATTTTGTATAAGTAATATATTTGCAGAAAGGAATAGCATGCATTCAAGGAAAACTGGAGACAAACAAACAAATTGCACAATATTTGTTGCTACTAATCTGTCCTGCTGCAGTGGTGTCACTGATAATAGCAAGGCTTGTGAAAACAGAGGAGTTATTGAAATTATGGAAAGAGATGATTCAGAACAATTCCTCTCATAATCATCAAATACTCACTGCATCCTGATACGGAGTATATATAGCTTTATCCTTCTAAAAACCTGTGTGCCTTTAAAATATCACAGTGTGCTTGCTGATAATTCATCATAGTTACTTGGAGTGAGTAAATCAATAGCAGTCTTCCCAATTAGTGAAAGTGTATTGCTTCTTGCTGAAGGCATAAGTGATTAAGCAGAGTCCTATCAATTTTGTTGCATGACTTTAATTGCCCCTCTGTTTTTTTGTTGCTGCAGTAGTTGTTGAGTCATGTTTTTAATTAAGACTTCCTGCACAGTTGCCATAGAAGCACTCAGGTAAGAGTCGCTGAGAATTTCAGTGGCCAGTTTTAATCTAAAAGCCTTCCAGGCCCTTTCCAGGATCATACACAGGTGTGGTTGTGTAGGTATTTTTTGCGACTTAAACCTAAGCATTGCTTTATAAAAACTGTGTCACTGGGGTGTCTTGAATCCACCTGTATGGTAACTGGTCACTGGGCTAAGGAGGAATAAAGACATTTTTGTATCACAAAGGAAGAATAAATTCTAACAATAATTACTTTGCACTTCTGACTACTTCATCTTAAAGCAGACTTAGCTGTATGGCAGAGGCTCAGCAGCATGGAGATACTGATTTCTGTCTTCAGTTATGTGTATTTGCATACACTTTGAAAAGAAGATGCAAGAGGGAGTGCCTGTGGCATTCTTGTTAAGAGAGTGAAAGTCACAGAAATATGTTAAAATATTCCACTACAAATATCTTCAACTCCTGGCACAAAATATATTAAGCAAAGGCCAGACTAATGGTTTGATTCTCTACTCCCATCAACGTAAGATACTGTATCATCAATTTTAATCTGTATGGTAGGAGGCCTGTGGTATTAACATTATGCATGTGCTGGTTTTGAACACAGGATTTCTAGTACTGTTTGAGGTACAGTGTAGTTTTGTGGATGTAGCTTCATTTTATTTAAAGTCAGCAGCTGATTAATCCTACACAAGATGGGGTGAGGAAGAGTACCAATATAGCCCTATAATCTTGTGAAAAAAGTTATGTAGGTCATTAAAGATTCAAACCAAATTCAGTGACCTGTGATTTGGAAGTGAATCAGGAAAACATTTGCTCAAGTAATATAAAATGTTAGCATTAAGTAACAAGTATATTTCCTACTGTTTGCTTGCTTTCTAGAAAACAAGGTTATTAGTAAGCATCCTGTTGGTGAAATTTAAAGGGAAAAAAAAATCAGAACACAGGTTTCAAGTTTGTACTTCATATTTCTAAAAATAAATCATACATGTTGACGTAGATTGTGCTAGATTGGTAATCTATCTCACTGTGGCTAATGCCATTTCTATTTTACATGCAATTAATTTAAAAGACTGTATGTGTATTCACACTGAAGAAGTGACATTTTTCAGCAGCTAATTCTGCATAAGCACAATGTTTGCTTCTCTATAAAATTTGAAACTATTCTGGAATAGTTTATTGGCTGTTTTGGTGAGCAATCTGCAGCTCTTAAAGACAACTGCTGAAGCGCCCGGAATTTAGAAATGTGGCATATGTTACCAGCTCCCAGTCCAACTATCAAAAGTAAATGGAATTTCAAATGGAGAGACTATGCAGAAGCTACATTTTTGTAATGTTTGAAGTACAGCTCCAACTTCAAGCCTACCCATTGTTAATGGAGGTGTGGTAGGAATTCTGTAAATGGTAGACACTGAACTTGCTGTTTGTCCAGCTGTGTGTACTTGGAAATTGGTGTCTAAATGCTACAAATCTGCTGTATGCTTGAAATGTAAACTTCTGGAAACACTGAATACAGCTAAAGCATTAGCCTTGTGACAGAAATCCTTTGCAAGACAGAAACATGTATGTATTCTGAAATGCCCCTGACATCAGTAAATCTGTATTTTTGTGCTGCTGTTATGTTTCTGAATTTTGAAATAAATGACAGTATTTCAGCTGGAAACAGGTTTTACAGTGTCCTGAAACACTTCAGTTTAAAATGTGAATCTGAGCTATAGTAATAGTTATGGTACTGATGTAATAAGTTATACCTTCAGTGGGGAAATCACATAGAAGAAGCAGAGTGCTGTCTAGAAGTCCAACAGCTGAGGAAACATAAATTTTATTTTTTTTTTGAAGGAGGCATGTTCACATCCCTCTTCTACTTTTAAACATCCACTTTAACTTAAGTGGTTGGTATTCATACTCATTTTTATTTCTTATGCGGCCTCCTAAAGTAGCACACTTCTTAATAGATTATGATTAACATTAGAGCCACCAACAAACTTGATAGCCATTATGGGTTACGCCAGTGCCATGCTCTTCAGTATACCATGAATAGAAGTACAAAAAATTTACTTAAGCTGGAAATTTTTTTCCACAATAAGTAATTAATGTAGAGAAGCAGGAAGCATAAACATGATTTAGAATTCATACATACTATGCTAAATGTTGAAAGTCCTTATCTAACTTACTAAATTTTAAAAATATGCAAAAAGGGGAATGTCTTCATTTATAATAAATTTTTCAAACCTACTGTAGTACAGTGTTCCAAGTAAATGCATTAAAATGTACCTTTCTTTCAGACAAGAGCAGGTCAGTGTTCTCTATCAGAACATACACATAGCGGAACCAAGATTAATCCAGCCTTATGAACATGTCATTAAGAACTTCATCCGAGAGATCAAACTTCAAAGCACAGAGATGGAAACTTTGGCCATCGCGGTAAAAAGGTATATTGAGTTGTGTTTCTGGTTTAATTATGCAGTTACTTTTTTCTCTGTTGCATTCTTTTGACACCAACTACTGGGAGTTGATGTCAAAATGCCATGCGGACTACTTCTGTAAACTGAGTTCAAAAGTTAGTTTACATGTACACACATGTGCATAAGCACATATAGCAGCTTGCAAATGATTCCCTATTCATGTTCTGGATAAGTCCTGTACCAAATTTTTGCAGGCTCTATTCTTACGTTTAATGTCTTAAAACATTTTGACTCCTCTTCCTTGGCTGTAACTGAGTTTTAGCATACATGCCCATTACACTTTCATTTTAGAAGCCATATTTTTGCTTCTTTAGCTTCAAGGGGAGTATTTACCTGTTGTAACTGCTTGGCATTTGCAATCTCACATCATCATTGCCAAAACCAAACAGATTAGCTCAAGACAGAGATCTTGTATGTGTGGGTGATGCAAGTAGCTGTAGTTATTCTATTGAAGTCTCTTCATGGGACAAACAGAGGGGCCTTTTATCTCTGTAACTTAATTTTCAAAATGCAGATGTGATGTACTTCATACTATTCATCAGCTGTCGGCTATTATTTAAAAACTAATTTACCTGTATCTTCAAATTAATTTGTGATTTTGGTTTCCAACCACACCAGCTTCAAGGTCTGGGCAATGTTAAAACTGTTTCAATGTCTGACTAATTTGTTTCAGCTGAGGTAGGCAGATGTGTTTCATACAACATTCTTTCAAGCCAGAGGGCAATTCCTAAGAGAGTATTTACTTTTACATTTTAGAGCTCAGGATAAAGCAGCAGTTCAGCTCAGTGAGCTGGAAGAAGAGATGGAGCAACGTATACAGGCTGCAGAGCATAAAGTTAAAAAGGAAGTGAGTATTTTATGTTTACAGAATTTCATAATTACTTAAGTCTCAGTGGTCTTAAGCAGCATTGATGACCAGGTGAGTGTTTTTGACCCTGATGGGCTGACTCATACTGCCAAAGGATGAAAAGAAGCTATCCATGAGACTGTAAATATATTAGCTTAATGTTTTCCCAAAGGTGAATGGCTGCTCAGATGTAATAAACGAAGAAAAAAAAGTCTTTGTCTTTTGTGAGAATATTCTGGCCTAGAGGAATTTATTTCTGAGACCAGTGTTGAAAACAGATTGGAGAAAATGATCTTTCACCATAAAATAATGGAATCTAGTTCAAGTAGATTAATCTATGTAGAAATTAATGCTTAGATCTTTTGTTCCTAATCTGTATATCTGCATGGAGTGGTGGTCTTTCCCCTATTCTTATCTTGCAACTATGTTTTAGAAAGTTACAGACATAAGAGAGGGTAATTATGATTGACAGTGTGTGAGGGCCTGGACCTCCCAAGGTTGATGGGAAATTCTGTTTCAATGTGCTAGAGTTCTAGCCATTGCTTCAACTGACTTGCAGTCTTGATGAAAATTACAAGAATCCTTTTTCCCTTACCCATTGAAAGATACCTTAGAGACACGTATGTGTAATTCTAAGTAGTGCAGTAAAACCACCCTGCCTGTGTTGTCTGCTTCATGTTGAACTGTTACCAAATTTACATAAGATGAACTTAACTTTATAATGTGCATAACAATAATAGTCTGTTAAAATGTTCCAATTTGGACATAAGAAATGTGTTAATGAAAACATACACAGTGGGCATAATTATTGCTTTGTAGGACACACTATATAGTGAACACTAATACATTTGCTATGGATTCTTTCACCAAAGCATTTGCAGAATCAGAAGCAATGCAGTGCAGTCTGCCAACTTGATTTATAATAGTTCATGGTAGTTGAGCTGTGAAGGTAGATGGTACTCTGATAGATTTGCTTCAAAAAGTATCTTTCTCTATACAAGAGGAAACACTCCTACCAAACTATAAAATTCAGTGTTTTTTTCTAGGAACAAAATGTAATGACATAAAACGTTAAAGATACTATCCCAGGGAAAAAAAAAAAAAAGCATATCATAGTATGTTTAACTAATGATAATGCAGCTCTCACTTGGGATAAACTTCCCATTTCCAGAGACATTAAGCACTTATGTTTGGAAAACAGATACAATTGCTCTGGAAAATTTCTGTTCTGTAAAAAGTGGTAAATCACTGAAAAAAGCCCTAAAGACTCTTTTCCACTGCTGTAAGATGGCTGGGATGTGCGTATACACTCACTCTGAGAACATCCAGAGTTACAGACTAGCATTTTGTAAAAACGCACCCAATATGTATTATCTAGTCTGTGTTTTTCATTCTAAAAAGTCCTCAAATTGTCTCTGAGTTGCATGGATTGGGATTTCACTGTTCACACCCAGCTATAGACATGAAAGATGGGTTGTAACTTGTTTCTCTCAGCACTCTTTTTAATTTTCACTCCTAAATGTTCCCTTTAGCTCATAGCTCTGCATACCCCACCTACGCCCTGAGAGTAAATGTAAGATATTTACTTTGTGGGATTGTACTAAACCATTAATCTTAATGCCTGTACACAAGGCTATTTTTTTCAGGGTGATCTCACTCATGCCACTGTGACACCTGCCTCTGCATGATAGTATCTGCAGGCTGACCCTATCCTGTATTTTGTTTCTTCAAGGGAAGCAAATAGTTACCAAATGATACGTAAAAGTCCTATATAGGTGCCAACAGTAAGAGAATTCAGTTTAAGCTGATTACTTTGGTTATCATTTTAATACATGGATTATCATTTAACACACTGATGTCAGCGTCACATACAGAAAAGTGATAAATTCTGAGCAAAATCCATGTCTGTCTTTTCCATGTGGAAACTCAACCTATCTCATTGCCACCACTCACTGCAGCATTGCGGTCTCTTGTGTTGTGAAACTGTGCACTGAAGTCTCTGGGGAGTGAGTTAGACACATACTCATCTATAGCACGTGGAATCTACCATTCTTCTCATTGTGCTTGATGTAACTGCATTTCAAAATCTGTTTTTATTAAAATAAAACTTAGAATAGTATACTTGGCTTGATATGCAGAGCAAGTACCATATGAAACTAAAGATGCTGTCATCATCATACCTTTTACTGAACGTGGACCTGTAACATTCCAACACTTGCAAGTGAAAAAGTTTAAAAGAAAACCAGAAATAAATAATTGATGGTGGCACAGTAATACTGTTACTACCACACTGGTTTGTGGAAAAGGATGTAGTGCCCTGATCTGTGTGTGGGAGTGTATGTATACATCTATATATGCAATACACACCTGAATTTATGTACAAATAAAATTTGAACACTTCAAGGCTTTTTTTAAGACATCAAGAATGTTAAGCACATGAGACTATGACATGAATAACAAGCACTGAATTGAACCATATCTTTGCTCCCACCTTACTGTTTTATTTCTATGAGTATTCTGTAAATGGACTGCAATTACAGAATCAGAATCCATTTATCTTGAGGAAGAGGCAGCTTGACATAACGGAAAGACAAAGTTACGCACATTAATTTAAGGTAAAAGTGTGTGGTTTCCAAACTGATGAATGCAATTTTTAATAAACATTTGAAACTTGACTCAACTTTTAATTATACTAAAAATACTTCAGGAGAAGCGAAAAGCTGAAGAAGCGCTAAATGAGCTGAAACGCCAGTATGATACTGAAGTTGGGGATCTTCAGGTGACAATAAAAAAACTTAGAAAGGTGAGTTGAAGTCATAGTAAGAGTTTTTAAAAGATGCTGACCTTATGAAGTGCATCCCCCAAGATGGATAATTATAATTCTAACTTTTTAATGTAATGTGTACTGGCAACTGCAAGTACTTTTTTTTAGGTTGTGTTGTCATTCTGTACTGTTGTATCATTCTGTGTAATTTACTGAAATACTTAAGAAAGGGACCAATTGCTATCCAAATTCTGTTGCTGAATAATTTTTTAGGTCCATCTAGTTGTTAACACTGCAGTTACCTAGTCTTGTATTTGATACATGAGAAATAATCTAATATATTGCCTCTAAATATTTTTAACATAGATTTAGATGAAATTGGCTACTGAAACGTAGTAATTTACAGTAATAAAGTGCCTCTTACCTAGTGCATTTTTCTCAAATGTTAGTGGTAGAGGTGGGTTTAAGCTGTAATTTTAAACTGAAATTGCTAGTGGAACTAGTTAGTACTAGTCTGAACTGAAATCCAGCCTGATCTTTTCATTTGATACCTAAGCGTAAGGTAAACTAAATCTTGGATGTGAATATTGGTTTGTGTTATTTTGTAATTTGGGTTTAATTTTGATGTTAGAATTTACTCTTAAGTTTTACTAGAATAATAGCAACCAGTGAGGGTGTTTTTGTTTCTTCCTACTGAATTGCACTTAAAAGAGCATTGATAGAAATGGAAATTTCTTACAAGAAACATGAGAGCTTGTAGTACACATGCCACACAGATGAGGTAGCATATATTTTTTTACATCAGTGAGGATACACCTGTATATATGTTCTCAATAGCTGGGTTCTGTGTTGCTGGTTATGCATATTCAACCTACAGAGTGAAAATGCTCATTAAACATTTTTAAAGTATTGGTTTAAAAGATTGTATAGAAATCCAGTGATTTTTTGAGTAATGCTGCCTACTAGCACAGTTGGGGAAACTCTGGGTTTTAAAAACTGTAATAGCTGTAAAACGTTGTAGGTGTTATTTAGTATGATTTCCATTACTTTTTATGTACTTGGAATCAGAGCAATTGATGACATATGTTAATTGTGCATTGTTTTATCCTTCTAGCTGGAAGAGCAATCGAAAAACATAAATCACAGGGAAGATGTGGTTGAACTGAAAAAAAGAATACATGATATGTTGCTGGTAAGAGATGATTATCATCAACACATTAATTTAGCCTTAGTTTTAGCCTCTGCAATACAGATTTTTTTTTTTTTTTAATGTTTAATACTGGTAAGCTATGAAATAAACTCTTAAAGCTGTTGATAAGTGTATGAGGATCTTTAACTTGGAAAAAACCCTGTTCTATATAAATGTGTACACATGTGTACACATTCTAGGTATAACATTTAGAAATGGCTTGAGATTATATAGTCCCTTTTTTGTGTAACTGACATGGAAAAATAAAAACTCAGTGGTTCTTGCATGCTGATTTACTTTGCTGATTTAGAATTCTTTAATTTTTTCCTCCTCAGATTTTCTAGTGTTTAATTTTTATTTAATTTTGATGGTTTTAATTTTAATATTACAATATTTTGACATTTTATGCAGCTGACTATGACAGCTAACATCTAATATCTTCCTTTTTTTAAGGAAAATCAGAAACTTAAGAAAGAACTTTTAGAAGCGCAAACAAATATAGCTTTTCTACAGAGTGAATTAGATAGCTTGAAAAGCGAGTATGCAGATCAGACTTTGAACAGTGAGAGGTAAGGTACTTCTGTGTGATAATATTTTCACCATTGGAAGAAAAATCTGCTGTCTGATGTAGTTATTATGTATGCAGTTGGTAACTGTTATTTTCTAAATTTGCCATAAATTACAGGTATACTTTTGACGCCATGCAAAGTATGTGTTGAGTACTGTTCACTTGTCAGTTCACTTTTCTGAAAGAGCAAGTTCTGGATTTTATGTGAACTCTCATAATCTTGCAAGGAAGCCCATTGATTTTACTGTGACTTTAGTTAGGAGTATATTTAAAACCTCAGGCAATTTTTCCCTCCATGACTTGCACTCAGATGAATATTCTGTATGAATATTTTTGGGAGAACAGTTTTGGAAGACTCCCACATCAGTCTCGACCAGTTATTCCTAATGTGAATGAAAGCTGCTTCTGAATATTAATGTAAAGGAACATAAATGACAGTTTCAATGTGTGGTTATCTTGAGGTAACACAAATGATATTTCAAGGGGAAAAGAGGCAGTCCATGTGGTTATTTTCATTTTCTCTTTCATTTACAGTCGTTTGCTGTGGCAGTGATCAGTGGAGTTACCAAGTGGTTTTACTTTGCATAAAACTGCTTTTAATTTATTTCAGCAGAATTGTAAACATAGAAAAAGTATATTCAGAAATATTTTGAAATTATATCTTTTCCACACTATATATCTCTTACCACTTACAGATGGTGACTGTTGAGTTTTGTCCTCTGCCAAAAGCAATATTAGAAAAATAAAAAAAGATATGCTATAAAGTATAACTTCTTTGGTTTTTTTTTTTGCAGAGACTTAGAAATGATCCGAGAGTATAGTGAAGACAGAGATAATCTGGAAAGACAAATTGAAATACTTCAGTAAGTTCTTAGTAATTCAGGTTTTTATTAACAAACTTTCTCCCAACATATTCAGGGGTAGATGTTCTTGTATGCAAAAGTGTGGGATGAATTTTGGGGAAAAAATACCAAGTAAAAACACTGAAATGGCCGCGATTCTGACAGAAGGTACTGTGTTACTGGGCCACTAACTCTTCACTGTTTTTTTCTTTCTTTTCTTAGCCTCACTGACTTTCATTTCTTTATGATAAGAACAACAAGATTTAAATCTATCCATGCTATTATAAAAATTATTACTTGGTTCCTTTTTTTATTGACTTTGCTTCTTCAGTAATTTCCTGTTTTATCATTATCTGGAAGCTACTCTGTGCAGTATTATACAAGGGGCTCAGCACAGATTTTTGATTTCAAGGAGGGTTGCAATGAATAGTATGTTTTGTATCTTTAGTTAATTTCTTTATCCTAAACATATTATTTCAAGCAGCTGAATCACATCTGTCCTTGAAGTCATCTCAGCAATACTTAGAGGGTAGTCACTTTGTGTTTCAGAAGAGTTTAGAAGTGGTAGTTTACTACCACTCAGTTGTTTTTTTTCAGCTGTTGCTACAGTGTCTTTTTTTCCCCTCACCTGACCACAGACCATGCTGGTAGAAGTGAAACAGGGTTTCCTAGACTGTAACTGCAGGCTAAACTTCACAGTGCTTCTTTCACATACAATCATTTATTTAAGTATACAACAAGACATTTCTAGTTTCACATTACTCTTTAGTGTTTATCTAAAGAAAAAACAGAGGTTTGTTTGATATGTAATTTCAGTTTTTCTTTGTGATGTTACATAATATTTAATGTTTTCTTTACTCCTGCAATTTAAACTGTTTCCTTGTTAGATCAGCTAATAAAAAGCTACATGACAGCAACGATGGTTTAAGAAGTGCACTTGAAAACAGTTTCAGCAAGTACAACAGATCGTTGGTATGTAATTATAATCTTGTTTTGTTGTACTAGAAGATTTAAGAATTACACACCAAATGCAAATTTGTTTGTACTTGTGGGTACTTACCAGATTAAGTTTTATTCAGTGGAGTCACTGGGAATACACTTGTGTAGTTGAATTTTGTTAGATTTTACTTATGTTCTGTGAAATAAGGGTGTTAAAGCACAACTACTTACTGAGGTGCTTAGGAAAGTAGTGACTTTTAATATGCCATGGCCAAGTGTATCTGATGAGGTGACTAGATCAGCACTTTCTCTTGCACTAAAGGAAATATGTTTGTATTGTTTATATGGGAGTGCTCTACCGCTGAAAACACACTTTTTCAGAAAACTGCTTTCTTTTAGTAGCAAGGTTTTAACCTAATTTGAACTTTTGTTACCAGGCAAGTAACTGGGAATGTGAATAGCAGGTACTACTCATAATAGGGACTTCAGTCAGTTCCTTTCGGGCTCTCACAACTATACAGGGATCTGTTGTAACAGATGTAACCCATCATCCTGCAAACCAGAAAAAGGAAGGGTTGAAAGTTACAAAAAAATCTACTCTATACTGCCATATTGCAATATTGGGAAACCTGTTAAACTCCAAAACTAATGACAAGGCAACCCTTTACATTAATTGGGAAAGCAACTAACTGTTTTAGAAGAATGGAGCCAGAATAATGAGGCCACAGAGACAATACGGGCCAGTAAGCAGGAAAATAGGGGTCATTGCCTGCTTCCATCATACCATACCATACCATGGAGTGCCTTTTGCTGGTACGAGCTACCAGAGATTCACTGCAGGTGCAACAAAAGATACCATTTCCTTCTGCCATGCCCTGAAACAGAAGGGAGGCAGATTACAGAGAAGATAGGAAAAACTGTTCCCAGTGAATAAGCAAGTAGTGGGACAGCAGAATGCATTAAATACTCTGTCTCTGTCACGTGCTACCAGTTGAGATGTCTCCTTCTCTCCACTGCCTCACTCAAGAACCATCTCTACTGAAACTAGCTCAGCCAGTGACATTTCCCTTTTCACTTTAGTAGTCAGCATGCCATTTTTCAAAAGATTACTTTTCAAAGTTTAGCATGTTAAAGTCTTCAGGTGTAGTAATGAAATAATCTTGTAATTTCCGGTGTCCTTTGTGGTTGAGTGTGACTAGTAGGTTCAATATGAAGATGACAGTGGAGTATAAATGCTATATGTAATGGGCCTTTTGACATCCTGTCCTATATAAAGCATGAGGCTTAATTAAAAATAAGTAGTTGAATATATGTGAAAATACACTGTAGTAATTTTGACAATGCACACTTTTTTCATGACAAATCTAGATGCTTACACTGTGTTCATCAAATATACTATGCATTTGTTATATATCTGTTGCAGCGGTTAGCAAGCACCTCACCAGGAAGTACCAATTCTAGAAGCAGTCCTAAATTTAATGGTGGTCAGTCTCCCCTAAACCCACGATATGACAGGTAAGCCAGGTTTGGTTTTATTAAGCTTAAAAAAAATAGAGCGTCACATTTGTCTTAGAAGAGCAAATATTGCCAGATAACAGAGAGAATAGTTCTGTCTGATTCAGAAGAAATGTGTGACCATGATCCAAAGTATACTGAAGTCAATATGAATCTTTTCAGTTACTTCAGAAAGTTCAGGAAAACTCTCCTCAGTGCAAATCATGAACTTATGGAGAGTTCAAACAGCCTCTTGTTTGGTCTTGGACTGTTATGATCCTAGTTTGATTCTCAATCTCCCCTCCTTGTCTCCAAGAAACTATAAAAATCTACTGGTGACCTCTGTCAGCTAGCTTACTCAGTACTTAGGAAATAAAACATTTTTGGTGTATCTTCAGCCTGTATGTTTGTTACAAAGCTATTTGGGCCTAATTCTTCAAAAGAATAAACATCCTCATCTCACACTGATACATAAGAGTAGTGAATCACTTGGATATTAATTAATGGGGTAAGAGCCACAGAGAACATTATTATCTAAACGCAAATATCCAATGGTCAGAGCTACTTTGGTTTTGTGCTTATCTGATGTAGGTTATTGATCAGAGCTTCCTCAGCTCATTACAGAGACTCTTACTGAAGTCACAGGGTATTGGATCCAACCTCAAGTGCTGTAGATGATGCTGTGTTTTTCCACTTATTTTTTAACAGCTGGAACAGCAAAAATGTATGTCCTTACTCAATTAAATAGATTGTTTTGTCTTATTTTTCTTTCAGTGGTACTTCAAATTCTAGAGACATCTCTGTTAGAGTGCTTAATCTCTCTGGTAAAATGTAGAACACAGACTAAGATCTTTGGTAGGGATTAAATTGACTTCTGCTTCACACTAATAATATCCTCATTCATTTAGTAGTGCTACTCTTACTCTGCTGTCTCCATGTGAGATGTTTGCTGGCTGTAAAGTTTTGCTTGTCACAAACTAATGCCTTCTGCTGAATGCAGGTAAAACCAATTCTGTTTTGATGGACCCTCTGCAAATTTTGAGAGGCATCCACTACTAAGTTGCATATTAAATTCAGTAATTTTCTGGAGAGATAACTAAAACCTCTCTGGAGGCTTAGTGATGTCATTCTTTGTGAATATGTATTAGTAACTGCCACATGGTGTAATCCTTGGCATTCCCACAAAGGTGAGAAATGCAGGCTACTTTAGAAGAAAGTTTATGCAGTAGAAATAAACCTTACTCTTAACAGGTACTTTGCTTCCTGACATCAGATCAGCATTAAGACATGCTAATGTTCATTCTAACTTATTTTAAGCAATTTACATTAGTAGGTATACTTTTTTAAAAAAAATTTTAGCTGTATCATTCATCAAGGTCTAACTTGCTTTCAGCACATACGAAATTCCCAGCACCGAATTCATGCTTCAGTGAGTTTGAAAATTGACTGCTAAAGACCTTTATTTCAGGGAATGCCTGAGAACCTTAACTTTGTTTATAGCATGCACTCTTCCTCTGTAATTCAGTGATGTGGTGTAGGCTAGTAGGGGCATGAATACAAATAGCACAGATGCTGTGGTATTCCACATCAGAGATCATGCTCATTCATGTAATTATTCATTAGCCTGAAATGATGTAAATTAGATGGTTCTGGATGTTGTTGCAGGGAACAATGATGTCTCTGTCACCCCTATTTGGCTACTTGCAGGAAGGAATTATAGTTGACTCAGTAACAGCTTCATAATTTGGTGGTTCTCCCCAGTGTACTCTTCTGTGGTGTGCTACTGATTGGGAATTCCCAGCCCCTCTGGCAGCAAACTACCTTTACAAGGATTGATGCTGACCTTGTCTGTTCTAGAAGTTTAGTGCTTCACATCCATTCCCAATAGGGCAGGGCCAAACTGGTTCTGTTTTCTCTGCTGTGACTTGGAGACCATTTCTACCTCACTTTAATTTGTGCCTGTTCTTGTCTTGCTGAAGAAGCAGGGTAATGATTGTAGCCATAGTAAACATTTTTTAAAAGACTGATTCTTTTAAGATTTGCTCTATTAATCTTTCTTTTTGGAAGTTTCATTTACATAAATAAAAACTAAATTGTTTTTCTGTATACCATACTATCATTGCTGCATCCGTTTAAGTATTGTTACATATTACCACATCTAAAATGAAAAAAAATAAAAAAAGTTCTTTGAAGGAAAGTTGAGGGGAAAGAAAGGACTTTCATGTAAAACCCAAACTGTAAGAAAACACATTTCAGACACTTCCACGATTACTGATCTCCTGAGCTCTATTACGCCCTTTTCTATATTTATAGCTGTTACTTATTGGCCTGTGTGCTTCTATGAGTAAATGCATTCATTTAAATTAGATAGAGTATTTCAAGGTCATTTTATGTGTCTTAGAATTGGTCAAAATTAGCTAAACCATCAGCCGTCATTTTCTGCCTTTGCTGTCTTCAGAGTATGTTATTTTCTGAATCAATTTAAACAATTTTTTCTGTGTGTGAATAGACATTCTTACTGAGACTTGGGAAGTCATCATCTATAACATAATTATATAATTTAATTAATTCATTTATTTATATATTTGTGCATCCTAAAAATATGAGTAAAAAGACATTATTTAGAAAGGCAAAACAGGCATTGACATATGTCTTAAACTGTATAGTTGTCTCAGAATGCCTCAGATTTTGTTGGGAAAAGCAATTGTGGAATGTTTTTTTTCCCCTCTCCAATATTTTCTTATTAGATCATCTCATTCTTCTTGTGTGGATGAAGATTATGATTCTTTAGCTCTTTGTGATCCTATGCAAAGGATGAACTGTGAAGTTGACAGCTTACCTGAGAGCTGTTTTGACAGTGGTTTGTCTACCCTGAGAGATTCAAATGAGTATGATTCAGAAGTGGAATACAGGCATCAAAGGATTTTTCAAAGGTCACAGTGTATGCAAGAAAGCTTTGGTGGTGATGCTTCTGATACAGATGTGAGTGCCCAACTTACTCCTTCTCTGAGAAAGACCTTTGTTTGGAGACAAAATTAGCTTCCTTTTTTTAAAATGAAATGGAACTTTGCCCATAGGCCAGTTAAAACAAGTATTTGGGTTATATGCATTTAAATAAGTTTAGCGACAGTTTTTTTTCAGAATGCATAAATAGTTACTTCTCTTTAGAATAAAATGTTTGTTTTGACTTTTTTGGTAGATTTTTGAGGTAGTAACTTCATTTTTGTGGTACACATGGTTTTTGAAGGTTATTGAAAAGCATGCAGACAGAAGCCCATTTGAAAGGCAAGTACTATAGAAATAAAATATGTTTCTGTTTACTTTCTCTTACATTGTGTCAGTGAATGAGAAAATCACAGGAGAAAAAGAATACTGTTAGTGCATACACTGACATACAGTAAGTCTCAGAATTTAGAAATGTAGGAAGGTGTTATTGTGTCCATTTGTTTGTTAGTGAAATGGATAGCTTTACTGATGACTACAGAGCAAGACTAGTATCAAGCACAGCAGAACACAGTTTTTTTTTAGCGCAGATTCTTTACTGTGCATTTAGTAGAGACATCTAGTCTCTGCAGTTGAAAACCCTATGAATAGTGCTGGTTACAGCTGTGCTGTATTTCATTTAGCTTGAGTAGTAATAGCATAGGGAGTAATGTCTTGTAGGGGAATTCTAAAGTTTTGTAAAATAAGCTTTGAGAGGAAGCATTTGTTTATTGTAATTATTTTTTAAGCTGAAATTTCCCATATGGAAATTAGTTTGCCCTATCTGGAACCTGTACTGAAAGCATGTATGCCAAACAGCAAACATATTTAAGGACCAAATGTAGGCTATAGTAAACAGCAAATGTGAATAAAAAACCACCAGGATAATTACAGTATTTTGACTAGAACTGCACAGATTTATTTGGTTATTTATCTCTGTTTAATCCAAACTGTTAAATGTTTTAATCAGTCTTAGCCATGCCTTTCCAAAAAGCACACTTTTTTTCTCACTGGAGCTAACACACTAACTTGTACTTTCAGGTTCCAGAGATTGGGGATGAAGAAGCATATAGTCCTGATAACAGCGGTACAGTATTACACTGGAAGCCCTCACAACCAGTAAGTCGAAGCAGCTCAATTGCTTCAACAAGGAGACACATATCTGCTCTCACCCCTCAGGTAAACAGTTCTTTAGGGAGAAAAAAAGTGTTTGATTATAGAAAATGTTTTTTATATGAGTTGAAATAGAGGGATTCTTTTTATTTTCAGTCAGATTCAACTGAATGTACTCTGAAATACCCCAGTTCAGACAAGGCTTACAAGATTGTTCTTGCTGGAGATGCAGCAGTGGGAAAATCCAGTTTCCTTACAAGACTTTGCAGGAATGAATTTCGAGGCAATACCAGTGCAACCCTGGGTATAGTTGTTTTTCTTAAAATACTAAAGTGAATTTATTTTCTGTTCTGCAGAAGGGAGTGAAAAGATTATCCTCTGGCCAGGAAACACTGGCCAACCCTGATTGTTTGCCAGGGTTTCCTGAATATACATACACAGTTTCTTAGGGTGTGAGATCTTGGAGTACAAAAGCTTAGAAGTACCTAACTGTCATTTGGAGTGGCTAATAAGGTATTGCTCTAGTTTAGTTTCCATTTGCAAATTACGAAGCCAGTTCCTGAACAACACAAAACACCAGGAAAGGGGGTTTCAGTATAATGAAATTAGAATGTGTCTACGATCTTTCTTTATATTTTTCATTGCTTTCTTGTCTTCTCAGCTCTTTCCTCTTTCCTTAGTATTTCATACGATCCTTTGATGTTTTTCATACTATTTTTTGTCTCCATTTCTTCAAAGTATTATTGAAGTTTTGGTTTAAATGCAGCTGGAGGGATTTCTGACATCGTGTATGTTATTATAGCTGTCAGCTAACAGACGTCTCAGTGATCCAAAGACTGAATTTTTGTCTTCTAATCAAATCATAGTTATATATTTGTTTTATTGCCTCTGAGTCAGGATTTTTGTTCTAATTTATCTTTTTCCTCCTTGGCATTTGAAATAGTCTGTTTTATAAAACATTTTCTCTTTTTCTATAAAACTGTTTAGCAAAATAAAGCAGAGAGAGATCTTGTTTGCTGGTCATGATGCTAAATTTATATGAATGCTTTTGGGAAAATGTGTGGGTAAAATATTTTTTTTAATGTTTTTCGAAAGACAAATTAAATAGGTTCAGGGGATTATTGCAGTTCAAGGCTATGTGAATGAAATCTCATAATCTATTAAAGGAGATGAATTTTGAAATAACTACTTTATATGGCACCTAACTTTTCATTTTCTGTAGGTTTTTTTTAAAGTTATTGATTTTTTTTTTTTAATTTGACTGTACCCATTATTCTGTTCAGGTGTGGATTTTCAAATGAAAAGACTAATTGTTGATGGAGAACCTACAGTGCTACAGCTGTGGGACACAGCTGGGCAAGAGAGGTTAGTGATTCTCTGCATTTATATAATTTCAGTTGTTTTGTTTCTAAGAGATGTTTGCCTTTTTTTGATCTGGATGCTGGCCCTATAGTAAATCAGTATAGCCATATTTAAATGTCTATAAACAGATGTGATTTTGCTCTGTTGAGACCCCAAGACAGGTAGAATGTTTATTTAGCTTTGGTGATGCCTGAGGTAATCTTTTCTCTCTGCAGAGAGAAATAGTTGAGGTTCACAACAACATTAATTAAATCTGTATGTCCATCTCTTGCAGTACAAAAAGGTGGAGTAGATGTACATTGTTTCTTCCATTTTTAGTCTTTAGCTTTCTTTGTCCTTACAGGTCTCTATTAATCAGCAGGCTTTATTTTAGTGATTCCTCTCCCTTCATTCTCCTTTCCTCCTTCTCAAAGCCTTATGGCAAAGTTGTACAGATTGCTGAAAATATATCCAAGTTCTTCAAATTATTGTGTAGAGTTTCCTCAAAATCCTATAACATCCTTATTCAAGAGTCATTACTTCTTTACTGACAGCTTTTGGGGCTTATTGTGAGGTTAATCTAGCACTTTGGAAGTCAGTTTAATCTGTTTGTTGACCAAGATTTGTATTGTGCTGTTAATGTGTTTACTTTTGCCTGAAAGAGTGATTATGTGAAGCAGGTAGTCAGAGGCCCAATCATTCTCCTCCCACATAATAAATTTGTGAAGAATATTTTAACATGTAATGTAAATACCTAGTTGCCGTACTTGGTTGTCACGTAGATTGTAATGTTAATGGCAAAGAGACTGTAACTGATGAATTCATTCCTGGAATAAGTTTACTGGCTTCATATTTTTTCAAATGTAGCAGTTACCCATTCAATTCATGAAGTTACATATAAGTGAAGAAGGTTTGCCACCTAATGAAAAGTCCAGTGCAAAGCAGATTATTTATAATAGATACACTGTAGATTGTTTTGATACAAAAAAATGTTGATTGCTGTTTAGGACAGAATCCTGTGGATCCTTACAAAGCATTTGTAGTCTTGTATCATCATTTTTTTGAGAATTAAGAAAGAAGCTGTGAGAAAACTCATCTTGTAATCTTAGTGCAATAAAGTAATGCTGTGTTTTTAATGATTTTAATTTGAATTATTTTTGATAATGTGGCCTTATGGAAATATTTTTCTTTTCTGAAAGATTCCGAAGTATTGCTAAATCATACTTCAGAAGAGCAGATGGTGTCTTACTGCTGTATGACGTGACATGTGAAAAAAGCTTTCTTAATGTGCGAGAATGGGTTGATATGATTGAGGTGAGACCCTTAAGTAGATACAATTTAAAAACTATGTTTCACTGCATTGTTGACCTTATTATTTATAAAATTTGAATATTGAAATTAGCCAGATTGCAGTCTGTCATAGAAATAAAAGCTAAAAGCTACATGGAAGTCTTAAATGTATCCTGACATATTCAGTTAGTGTTAAAGCTGATACATCTTTTTGTATAAAAGGTCTCATGTAATCATACTTTTCCCATTCATTTCCTTTTGAAATAAGCTTGAAAGCTCATTTCAGATACCCTTTTGTGGATGGCTTGAGTAGTCCTTGGAGTCTTTGTGTTTTAAACCAATATGTTACACTCTCTAAATTAACTATTGTTCAAGTGAAATTTTCATTATTTATTTTTACTTCTTGTTTGTTTGTCTTGTCAAACTTCTTGTTTGTTTGAATACAAATTTGCATTTAATGAAAAGGGTTTTTCTCTCATACCAGATGTGTTTAATAGGAGGGAAAATGATAAGCAAAATCTTTAATTAATCTTCTGAAGCCATTTCTTTTAATCATGGTATAGGAGTTGGTCACTTTTCCCATAGTAATTTTGTTATATTGCATTTGAATACAGTAACTGTTTCCATTAGACTGACCTAACATATGAAATTCCTTGTTGGGGAACAAGGCTTATAGGAATGGAATCACATCTTTGTAGGCTGGTGTTTAAGCTATCTGCTTAAATACCGACTAGCTCATGAAGAGTTCTCAGCATGACTTTCATAATTTGTCATTTTTTATGATAGTGCACAAGACCTTGTTTTCTGTGGGAAGGAAATCAATATGACTTGATGATACTAGTTGCTTCTTTGTATTCTGAGTGTTCTAGCAATAAGGAAATAAAATCCTCTTTCCAGGATGCAACTCATGATAATATTCCAATTATGATGGTGGGCAACAAAGCAGATCTCCGTCAAGCTGTTACAGAACAAGGGCAAAAATGTGTGCCTATAAACTATGGAGAAAAGCTGGCTATGGTAAGGTCCAAGTCTACCTCCTTAGTATAAAAAGGTCTTAAGAACTTCAGTGTGAAAACCATGTCAGAAACTAGTAAACAAAAGTAATTTTCTGGTAATTTGTGACTTGCAGGTCGAGGGAAGTGATTCTTCCCCTCTACTCTGCACTTGTGAGACTCCACCTGGAGTACCATGTGCATCTCTGGGGCCCCCAGTGTAAGAAGGACATAGATCTGCTCAAGTGGGTCTGGAGGAGGGCTGTGAAGAGGGATCAGTGGGTTGGAACATCTCCCTTATGAGGACAGGCTGAGAGAGTTGGGGTTGTTTGTCTTAGAGAAGAGAAGGCTCCAGGGAAAGCTTATTGTGGCCTTCAGTGCTTAAAGAGGGCCTACAGGAAGGAATCTTTATTAGGAAGTGTAGTGTTAAGAGAAGGAGTAACAGTTTTACACTGAAAGAACATAGATTTAGATTAGATACAAGGAAGAAATTCCTTCCTGTCAGGGTGAAGTGACACTGGCAGAGGTTGCCCAGAGAAGCTGTGGCTGCCCCCTCCCTGGCAGTGTTCAAGGCCAGGCTGGACGGGGCTTTGAGCAACCTGGGCTAGTGGAAGGTGTCCCTGCCCGTGGCAAAGGGTTGGAAATAGATTATTTTTGAGGTCCCTTCCAACTCAAACCATTCTATGATTCTATGATTTGTTCAAAATAATTAGGATTCATGGATACTTTTCATGAAAACTATCCTCTTTGATGGTGGTGTTTGCTGGGCTGTCATGTCTTGGTGTCCACTGAGTGAACTTTGTTACTGGCTGGGTTAGTTTTCTCAGTCTTTATGGTGAAAAAATGGATGGACTAGGAGACTTGAGATTTTCTGCTGCCAAAGAGAAGTGGCCAGGGAAAATACAAAGCACACAAGTGAGCATATGAGGCTTTTTGCATACCTTGTGTCTGTCCAGCTTTTGAGTGAAATATTTTCATCTTCAAGAGATTGTCTTGTATTCCTGCTGTGTCTGCAGAAAGGAAAAGGGAAATCTCTGCTATAAATAGAAGTGTAGACAAGTTTTTTGCATATATTTATAGGGGATGCACATATCCCATATTTTGCAGGAAAAAAAGCAGAATCTTTAGTCCTGAGTTGCTGAGTGCTTGCACAATTGATTGATTATACTGTGGCAGATACCAGGTCTGTTACTTATGGAATGATATTTCTGGTTATCCTAGAATACCAGATGCTGTAGTTTATGAGTAGCTAACAAGCTGGATTCAGTAACCTGTCCTAGCAACTCTCTTCCTATTTTGCAGTCTGTGAACAAGAAGATTGAGTTTGGACATTACGCCTATGATGTGTTTTTTATTCAGTTTGTTAATTCAGAATATACTGCATATAAATAAGATGCAATTAAAAATCAATTATTGTTTTCTTTCACAGTACTAAAGTGGAAAATTGGTGAATGAAGAGTACCAGAAGAAATAGTGTTTATTTAAATGTGTGTCATCTGTGTTATTGAGGAAACCATTTGTAATTGAATATATGTGTTCACATGGGAACCATCTCAGATTAGTTGGCTTAACGTTTTATTTTTACTCCCAGGCTTATAATGCGCTATTCTGTGAAACAAGTGCTAAAGATGGGTCTAATATTGTAGAAGCAGTTCTTCATCTTGCTCGGTATGTTTCTGTTTTCAAATAAACACATATAAGTATATTTTATAAAAAGGATATTTTATGTGAATATGCATGCAAGGACATACATGTACATTTAAAATTGCACCAGTATCAAATTTGACAAACAGAATTTAAAAAAGAATACCATGTTAACTGTAAAACAGGATTTATTCTCAGTTTAATCAAGTAATGTTTTTGCTTGAAATGTTACAAAGCTGTCTCAATAATTAATATTTAAATTAGAGCTCAGTTATTGAGCTCACAATTTTAAAACTTGTTTGGTGAATGAATTACATTTTTAATGGTACATGGATTTCCTTTCTTAAATCTTTCTTAATTTCCAATGCATATAGTTCTGCGTATAAGTAATTCTTAATTCTTTCACATATATTGATATATATATATATTCAGTTTTATTACTGACCATTCTAATCCCACATATTTTCTTTGATGTCCCTTTCTCTAAATTATGATTTATGAAATTCTGATTATATCCATTTAGCAATCTGGCATTTCTGTGATAATGTGTGAGCCAAATGTTACACTTCTATACTTCTACTACCTTTCCAAACCATTCTTGTTTACAATACAAGTTTGAAGGGCTGGCGGTATGTAAAGAATCCTCAGCTTCTGATTTTTTGGTTTAATACATGGAGCTTAAGGCCAGAATTACAAACCATATTCATGTGAATTTTGCAGCAGGCTAATACAATAATCAGACTTATTCTGGTCATTGGTTCTTCAACATGGGACTTCAAGAGCACCCATATTTACAGGAAAATGCATCTATCAGAGATGCAGCAAGAACACAGGCATTTATTTGTCTGTTAGTGTCAATTTCAAGTTAATTACTGAATTGTTAAATGACTCATTTCCAAGAACCTGGCCATGAATCCAGCGGTGGATTGTGAAATTAAAGAACATACAGAGCACATAACATTAATCACAGTTAGAAAATTATCTCTGATGTTTAAAGATGATAACTTTATTTAACTGTTTCAAGGATGAAAAGTGTTTTGGCAGTTGTAGCCTCTCTTTTTGGAATGTAAAAAAAAAAAAAAGGTATTTTTATTCACAAGGTTCATTGATCCTCAGATGGTCTAGACATTACCCAGAAACTTGATCTGGAATGGGTGCCTGTGATTTCTTTATTCAAGTCTTTGTAATTTATATTCTTTGAAAGAAGCATTTCATTTTGAAATAAAAATATCTAAATGAACATTTCATTACCATTATGTTGAATTATACAGTGTTCTGAGAGAAACTTCATTAATTTATTGTACTAATATGAGAAAGACTTTATACATATAGATAAAAATATATAGAGAAATATAAATTAAAAATATATTGGTTTTATATATATTATAAAAAAGCAAGACATTTTTGAGCTGTCTTTCAGCATTCTAGGGGGCCCATAGTAAGAATAGATAGTAGTAATCACTCATTCATATACAACTTTTAAGTCTGCATTTGTAATAAAACATCCAGAAATGTGCATTTTTCCTTTGAGAGTAAATTTATACTTGAAATTGCAGTTATTTAGTTTTCTACTTTCAGCTATGAACGTATTCTGTTTCTGTGGTAATACACTGAAGCAAACAAAGAAAAATGATCAAAAGGAAAGGGAAAACAGAACATTGTGGAGTTATTACATATCAGAAATTATTATATTTCTATCACTAACTATGATTTGTATAGAAATACTGATATGATTCCCAAATTGGAGACTTAGGAGACGTGTTGATTCTGTGCGTGAAAAACATAATTTTAACCATGCAATAGGTGATGGTGAGCTCTGTAAGATATACTGGGAGAAAAGGGATACTGAACGTGAATAGAAATATATTAATTGTGGGGTTTTGTTTGTTTGTGTTTGTTTTTTTTTTTTTTTTTACAGTGAAGTGCGAAAACGAATTGATAATCAAGATGATACAAGGTCAATAACCAGCCTGGCTGGGACACCTGTGAAAAAATCTGCACTCATGAAAAACTGCTGCAATGTTTAAGTGATAGATACTTTTCCTGACTTAAATAACTTCTATATTTTGTAAAAAAAAAAATGAAGGGTTTCAGTAATGTATTCTTTTTATTGTGGACTTACACATTCGTGTATTTAGAAATTGCACATCATTAAAAATCCAGACTACTTTCTACTCATTCATATTTGTGCACTTGTGTTGCCCCATAGGCTCTGGTTTTACTTTTCTTAAGTAATGTAAGTTAACAAAGTGAACTCAGAATCAGTGCTATAGTAGTCACTGCATACAATATTGATATATTAATATAGGTACCTGCTTCATTCTTTTATCGGCTCAATATTCCTTACATACTGAACTTGATAATGTATATCACTCATAGGAAAAGAAACAATTACAGCTTCAATTAATCTCCTTTTGCTCATGTCTTCTTATGTAGTTTTTTGAAGGCATTATATAGGTTGATGAAACATTTCCTAAGAAAACCCCAAACCATTAAAAGGTTGCCTAGATCCAGGTAAACCCTGAGTTCAGGATATGAAACAGAATGATCTCTGTTGGGAGGAGACAGTGGCAGGTGCATGGGATTCTGTTGTAACTTCACAAAATTTAATGATTAGAATTTATTTAATTTTGAGAGGTAGACTTTACATCTGAACCTACACAACTCAGAAGTGAAAAGAACATTTGCATGGACCATTACCATTCAAAATTCCAGAGAGACTATAATACCTGTGATATGTAGGATTACTGAGATGAATTAATGATGCAGTAGCCTGTTTGTTTAGACCAGATCATTGTTAGTATTACAGAGAGATATGGGTTGTAATTTTTCCTTTGTATTTCAAATGGCTTCCATTCAGACAAGAATTGATGGATTCTAACAGTACAGAGGAGTCTGTTTTAATGAATATTCTTTATGCTTTTTTGAAGTTTTAAACCTGCAGATGAAAGAATTGCTGCAAATGCACAAATATCTGTATAAACTGTTCCATAAAAAGAAGTCCCTGAAATGAACAGCAGCCACTTACCTTAATGAGAATTCCTTTGCCTGATTTTAGGAAAGTTCTGAGAAACTCACCAGTTGGTGGTAGCTTTAGGAGTCAGCATCTCTAAAATCTGAGTTGATATTGCTTATAATAGTTCCCAACAGTCCTATAGTGCATTAAAAACTGTAGGTATTTTTACAGTTAACAATCATGATACAATTCCTCTCAGCTTTCACTAATTTTGATTGGAATGGGATAGGACCCCATCACAGCCAGCAAACCATTTCTGTCTTTTCTGTATATATTAATAAAACATCTTCAGGCTGAAACCTAGCTCAGTAGATCAACCCTTGGATAAAGTTTTAGGAACTGATTTGAAACACATATGACTAGCAGCTATTACTGCATTTTATCAGCACTGTATTTAAACATTATATAGCCTGTGCTCTGTTACCAATTTTATAAAATCTGGAGTTCTCAGAAACAGGATGTTTCATTATTAAAAAAAAAAAAAGTTTTAACATAGGAAGAGTGGTTTTAGGCATCCTTTCAAACCTCTAGATCAGAGCAGCTAATCCTCAGGTAACTATCTGAAAACTTGTTCTTAACGAGACAGAGAAATCTAATGCCAGAAGTGATAAGACATTTTATTTCACTCGGTTGTACTTCTGCCCTAGAAAACATGTTTAGTTTCCTTTTTGAAGTATTAAGGCAATCTTCATGCACTACTTTATTCCATGCAGCAGACTTTAGGGTTATAACATCTTCCCAGCCAGCAGTACAGGATGCCTCACCGCAGTCCCGAGACTTATGTGGAGCAGGTGGCAGAGAATGAAGGAGATGCTGGTGTACCAGGAGTATGCCTGGTCACATATCTATTGTTTACTATTAATCCTGTATTATTTAAACAAGAAAATTACAGCTGTAATTAGTTTCTCTGAGGAGAAAACCATGCTTAACTGAGCATATTGATGAGGGCCTCTTCCATGTTCTTTGTGTGTAAGAAATTCCCTCTCTCCAAAGGAGTGAAATCAAAGTAGCATTAGTGCGGGTTTTACTTGCGGATAGTTCTTCCTGCAGCAGTAGGGAGGAGAAAGGGAGATGATCCAGTGCTTGGTTTCTGAAGTGTAAGCTTACAACGTGTAGGCATTTGCATTTTCTCAGGATGAGGAGGTCATGATTGTAAGTTGTTACTTACATTCCAAAATACCGCTCTTCAGTGTTATTAACTTCTGTTAACTTGTAGGGTTTAAACTGAGGCACAGTGTTCTATGTGTGTCTCCTGAACCAGTGTTTGACCACCTCTGTGGTCTTGGCCTGCAGTAAATGAAGTGAAATAAGTTTGCTTAAATCTTGTTGACACACCTGCATGAACAAAACATAAAACATGGGTAAAAAGTTCTCTCCATGTTCAACCCCAGTTTCCTAAGTGACTACAAATTAGGCATTTCCCCTTTGCAATCCTGGTAACTCCCCTTTCAGTATCAGTAGGCTATTAGATCCTGGTATAATAACACTATGAGGTACCTCTTGCTAATGCGGGTTCCATGTCCCAGAGCATGTGTTCCTATGTAGTAATTGCTTTTGGATCTGAGATGCTTACCATAGAGTGTCATCTGAATGTCCCTGCCTGTAAGAGAGCCTGGTTGAAGAACGCGAGAATGCGAATTCAGGAACCTGACCACACCTAATTTTTTTCTCTGCAGGACTGGGCCATTGATATTTTGGGCACATTTTTGGTTTATTTTAATGATCAAAATCTCTCTTTATTTGGTCAAATTATGTAAACTGAATCCCCTCTTTTAAGCTCTGTAGTTTTTATGTGTTATGTAAAGCAATTTTAATTTGAAACCTTTTTTTTTAAATAAGATTCAGGGTTGGAAACTGTTAATAAAGTTTTACCTTGGAGTAGTTTTTTGGTCAATGTCTAAGTTACTAAAAAAGCACTACTAAATGGGGATGTTGCTGTAGCTCAGATGGAACTGGTTTTAGAAATCCTACCATGATCAGTTTCATCAAGTCTGCATATTCACATAATATTGTGTAGAATTCATGTTAAAGCAAAAGAACTTGTAAAAATATTATTTAATTTTATAAATTAAAGCATGTATTTATCCATGGAATTAATGAATATATGAAGTTTTCTGTTGTTTTTCTTTGAAAGATTACCTTGCCTTCTATCTAAAATGTAAATAGTTTTATGCTCTGACATGGTTGCACTATTATACTTTAGGTGTCTTTGTGGTTTTGCTTAGTACGTAAAAACTATTCATTTAATCACACAAAGGGGTTTTTCTGGTTAGTGGATGTGTACCCTTAATACATCTATTTATTTGAATGGAATGGCCTTTCGTGTTTTTCTTCCTGACTTGTAAGTAATTTATTTTGATTCAATTGACACGGAAGTATTATTTTATCCTGTATTGGTTTTGACCCATATTAGTTGTGGCATATTACACATTTCTGAGGCAATAATTTCTGTGAGACTCTGAAAATGTTTTGATCACATAAGTTCTTGTAACCACTTTGTGCCTGTTCAGCATACATTAGTGGATTAATGAGTTGCAGCTTCTTTTAATTGTTCTTAGAAGTATAGTTAGGGCCTGACAGGGTTTAAGTATTTTTCTCTTTAACCATTTATGTATTGACTACAAAATCCTCTATTCTTTTCAGAAAAATAAATTATAGTGTTAAATTTGTGTAGCCTGTTAAAATGCATTCCTAGGGAACTATCTACAGGCCACTGCTGCAAGCAGCATCAAGGTGTGCACCCATGCAGATCCCCTGTTAAACTAGTAAATACAGTGTTAACACAGTTAATCTGTTCAAACATACGTACTCTTAAAGAGGTTTTCTTTTTTCCCCAATCCACTGCTGTACAACTATGCTAGGTAACTTTTTAAGGAAAGAGATTTTAATGAAAGATCTCTAATTCATAAATCAAAGGGAGGTATTTATTAATATAGTCAAGGCACTTTATTGTATTACAAAGAAACCTGCTTCCAAGATGTTTCTGACTGTATTAGATAATTTGAAAAATAGACCAATATCACATGTGCAGTTCAAATGCCCTTTACCACTGCCAGATTTGATACAGCATGCAATCCCTCTGACCCTTTCCAGGCTGGTTAAGCATTGGAGAATCTTTTTAACAGCACCAGTTATGTTAGTATTTCTGTCCCACTGTATTACTGTCAGGCCTAATCCTTTCTTGTCATACCTAATCCTGGTATGCCTAGGACTGGTAATATTAATATTTGTCATTATTCATCTTTTTTACCTATCTTGTTTTGTGAGAAAACTCTTATAAAAAATTACTCATATGTTGAACATAGGTTCAGATGTGTTACTCAGTTTGTAAAAAGTCCTTTTTTTTTTTCTTTTCGATTTCTGCACTTTGAATTATGGCTATAGATAGATAGGTTTATAGGAAATTAGTCATTAGGTGGCTGAATACCAAATAAACCCCAGCTGTGAAGGTTTGCCACTGAATATAAAGTGAAGTATTTAAAATAGAAGTGTATTTTTATAGCAGTATGAGGAAGAAATTCAGTACCGATTGCATGTGCCAACTTCTAGTAAAAGTCTATATTATTTAAATAAGGCTCTGAATTGTGAAAACCTTTAAAAGTTTAATTTATACTGTTTACTTGTAAAACTATGGTGCTCATACAGTTTGTTCCTCCTCAGAACTACAGATCACTGTAGTTTTGTACATATATATGTTTAAAAAGAATTACACATTTTCTGTATTACAAATTGCTGTATAATAAAATACGCCTCAGTAGCCATTTTTCTTCAGTGTATTTTCTTTTTGTCGGTGTTCATGACAAGTTCAGAATAGCATCTGTGACTTGTCAGCTTAATGTTGTTAGGGCTCACCAGTTTCTGTGGCCAACAGCATACAAGAGTGATGCAGCCACTGGTATCTCTGTCTGCCTTCAACTTCTTGGTCTCAGTGAACAGTCATCAACTTACAGCTGAGCTGAGACATGTCCCTCACTGAGAGTCCCAAATAATTCTTGAAGTTATGCTGCTGTGTGTATTTACAGAGATGCTTCAGCCACTCTAACCACTAAAATGTGATACTGGTAAGATGAGAAAGAAAAAAATAGCCAAAAGTAATAAGCCTATTGCAAATATGCTCTACAGAGGGCTCTAAACCTCAAATAGAAAATACTTAGGGGTCCATATGTCAAAGGAAAAACTGCCCCAAAACTCAAAAGTTGCTTCAAGTTAAATCAGCAACTTTAAAGCTTATCAGAGAATCATTTTGGTTGGAAAAGACCCATAGCATCATTGAGTCCAACCGTTAACCTGACAAGTCCACCACTAGACTGTGTCCCTCAGCACCACATCTACACATCTTTTCAATACCTCCAGGGATGATGAATCAACCACTGCCCTGGGCAGCCCATTCCAACGCCTAACAATCCCTTCTGGAAAGAAATGCTTCCTAATATCCAGTCTAAACCTTCCCTGGTGCAGTTTGAGGCCATTACCTCTTGTCCTATTGCTTGTTACTTGGTTGAAGAGACTCATCCCCAGCTCTCTTGCAACCTCCTTTCAGGTAGCTGTAGAGGGCGATGAGGTCTCCCCTCAGCCTCCTCTTCTCCAGACTAAACACCCCCAGTTCCCTCAGCCGCTCCTTGTACGACCTGTGCTCCAGACCCTGCCCCAGCTCCGTTGCCCTTCTCTGGACACGCTCGAGTCATTCAGTGTCCTTTTTGTAGTGAGGGGCCCAAAACTGAACACAGGAATCGAGGGGCGGCCTCCCCAGTGCCGAGTACAGGGGTCAGATCCCTTCCCTGTCCCTGCTGGCCACGCTATTGCTGACACAAGCCAGGATGCCATTGGCCTTCTTGGCCCCCTGGGCACACTGCTGGCTCCTGTTCAGCCGGCTGTCAATCAGCACCCCCAGGTCCCTCTCTGACTGGCAGCTCTCCAGCCACTCCTCCCCAAGCCTGTAGTGCTGCTGGGGGTTGTTGTGACCAAGTGCAGGACCTGGTACTCGTTGAACCCTCCTACAGTTGGCCTCCGCCCATTGATACAGCCTGGCCAGATCCCTCTGTTGAGTATTCCCACCCTTGAGCAGATCAACACTCCTGCCCAATTTAGGTGTTATCTGCAAACTTAGCAAAGGTGCAGTTGATCCCCTTGTCCAGGTCACTGATACTGAGCCCTGGGGAACATCACTTGTGACTGGCTGTGATACAGAGAAATGATTACTTGTTTTATTTACTTATTTACTTATAGAAAACTGCTTAGCAATTTATTTACTTATAGCAAGTTATAGTAATTTTTTAAATATTGCTAAGAATCCTGCTTGCCCAGACTGTTCTGTGGAATTTTACCAAGGACTACTGTGTTAATCAAAACAAACCAGTTCACTGTGAAAATCTACCAAGGATTACAATGTTCAGCAAAATATACTTTTGTCCTTGAGTAACAGGTATCTCTAACTAGTTGGAATTTTGCTAATGAGTAAAGATAGCCATATGCAAATGGTAGAAGTTCTATTGATTCTCTTAGATAAGACAGAAAGTGAACCATCTGAAAAACACTCTTGTTATTTAAGAAATTGGCCAAGAGAATCTGCGCATGCTCCGGGGAAAAGACTAGGAGCCTTCCTCCCAAAGACAGCCCCCCACTGCCCGCCAAGGCCGCCCCCCAGGAGGCAATGCGCAGGTGCAAAGAGAACACAAACTGCTGACATCAGCCTTTTGAACTAACCCAGCCTTACTCATGCACATGTATGTTTGTGTTGTGTAACCCAGTGAATATGGATATCCACACTCTATAAGTTTTTGGTAAAATGTGTGGTGGGTGTGCAAGCTTTGTGAGGAGATCCCCTTGCACCCTGGCCAGAGTAAACATACCTGCTTTATAACCCTATTTGAGTTGTAGAGTCTTTTTTTTTCTGCAAATCAGCTGTCAACAGGATTTATCTCCGTTCACAACAGTTCTTTGAGCCTGGCCTTCTACACTGATTCAATAGGAACTTAAAAGCACTTTATTGTCTGGTATCTTCTTACAAATATATTCTTAATAAGTCCAGTGTTCAAAATAATATAGTCAATTTTAATAAAAAGTAAGGTAGGTGAGAACATCCTAAAAGAGATAGCATAGATTTTTAAGTTAGTTGTTAGATTTACTGGCAGAACAGCTACTGTGTATGTTCCTAGGCTTCAGAATACCTGCTGCTTTCCTGAGTACTGCTGACACCTGCCTTGCAAAGTTTTGACACCTTGAGCTCCTTGATGAGTTTATAGTGACACTGGCTAGCAGTACGCTGTGGTGTGGGTTTTTTTTTTTTTTTTTTTTTTTTTTTTTTTTTGGTTGGTTTTTTTTTTCATATCTAGGCTTGGAGCAAAACTTTGGCCTCCTTGGCAGTTCTCAAGGAATTTTAGATTTGCTTGTTTTTTGTAGCTACTCTGAAGTCCATAAAAGCATTAGATTCTCATGGATATCAGCCTCTGGTGTATTTGGAATTAGAGCAAAAGAAAAATTGTGTCTTGGGACAGCAGGCATAGTGTAAGAACAAGTTTTATTCTTTAAAACTCACTAGTGATTGGATCTGGAGCTAAAGCATGAATGTACGCTCCTTTCTGACAGCAATAAGCTCTGGAAGGATAGTGTGGGAGTGGGGTGGGAATCACTATCAAAATGCTGTTTTCAAAGACTGAATTCCCTTCTTTTAGAACAAAATCTTACAAGATATCAAATTTAATTTTGATATTAATTTTCCTCTTTAAGTATTTTCCTCCCGTATTTCTGTAACCTCTTCTTCCCATGGCCATAAATAGTAAGAATTAAAGTGTAGTTTTGCTGCCTTTGTAATTTGCACAAATTAAAAGTTACTGTTGAAACTGAAACATTTAGCCATATTTAATACCTGATATAATCAGAAAGAGTTTTTATAGTCCTACATTAAGGGGCTACATTATGGTCAGTGGAGAATTCTAGCTCATAAGCTCGTGTTGTAATCTAAGGAAAATGAGAGGTGCAGCAGCAAAAGTTGATCTTACTGCAACTAAAAATACTCACCTGATAGTTTTCTATTTACTCTTGTCTGTTACTTTGTGCAAATAATCACTGACTTTGCTAAGAACCTGTTATTGTTTTCCTTTTGCAAAAGGACTTCTTTTGATCTTATTTAAAAATAGGGAAAAATAATTAAAGACAGAATCCTTAAAAGAGTGGAGAAAATCCTCCTTATGAGTTGCTTATTTTTTCTAATCCCCAGATCCAATTGTGAATTTCCATGAGAAATGTTAGAGTGTTTACACCAGAATAAAAGAGCAATGGAAACATTTAAGATATAGGAAAACAGAAAAAACCTGTTATATTTAAAGCAGAATACTGACTGCCTCATGGCTTTTTTTTTTTTTTTTTTTTTTTTTTTTTTTTTTTTTTTTTTCTGAGCTTTCCACTTCAGTCTGTATCCATTCCTGTAGAGTGTTTCCTTTGGTAATTCTTAGGAAATCATTCTGTTCATGTCACAAACATATCTTTACAGAGGCAACTGTTATTGAAGTTGTCAGAGAAAATCTGCAGGCATTTTGCAGTAAAATTATGACAAAAGTTCCCTTTATCAATTGAATATGTCAAAATGCCTGAGGTTTTGATTGATTCCACTAAACAAATTCAATCTCTATATACCAAATAGATGACCTACAAAGATAAAATAATGGAGCAAATTAACTATGTGAAAGATATCAAACTAAGACCAGGACTGTGAAAGCAGATGGTGCTATATTTGAACTATGTGTGTAAGTGATGCAAATAACAATAGATGTTATCAATGTGTTGAAATCTGGGGGAAATCTAAAAATTTTGGGGAAATCTAATCTAAACCCTAAATTGCGAATTATAGTAACAGTTTGTGAAGTAGTTGGTATTTTCTAAAATACTTCTGCTAGTGTTTATTTTACTCCAAATTGAAGACATTGTTCTGGCACAATCAGAACTGTAATACTAAACTTGCCTGTACCTATATTTGTGGGCCACGAGAATCCTAACTGAACCATACACAACATTTGCCAACTATGTAACTCTCCCCACTCTTAACTATTTTTCTTGGTCAAACTGGTGGAAATCTGAACAAAGCTGCATAGATGAAATAAATTCTACTCTAAGAGATTTCAACAAATACACAAAAAATGCATATACTTTATCTACCTTTATTTTCAAGTCATCTGAAGCGACCAAACATGAGTGACAGCATAAGGCTAAGCAATAACTACTAACCCCTTTCTTGCACCATAATATTCTGATTCTGGAAAGTCTCATTTAGAAAGTTGTGTGCATATACATGCCTATATACACATATGCGTACATATTAGGGTATATATACACATGTGTATATATATGTATTATGCATGCATATATGTATGTGAAACTATGACTACTGTCTTTCCCTTAAAAAATTAAAATTCTAGATCACAGGAGCTTTCCCATTGTGGTTTTCATAAAAGGTAACAGTGACATCAGTGTTCTTACTACTTCTTCCTCTTAACAATCTGCTCCGAATCCAAGGTTGTATTTTACTAAGCACATATTGCCACCTACTTTTTCTTTTGAAACCCACAGAGTATTTTTAGTGTTTTATTGTAAAGTGCTTTGGTCCACCTACTATGCAGTCATAGAATCATTTAGGTTGGAAAAGACCTAAATCAAGTCCAATTGTAAAGCTAACACTGCTGTCCACCACTAAACCATGTCCCTAAGCTCCATGTCTACACATCTTTTAAATACCTCTAGGGATGGTGGTATTTAA